TGATTTTTTTTTCTATTTTTCTCTTGATAGTCACTTGACTGTATTGTTTATGCAGATTGGTCCTTTCCAAACTACAAAGAGTGAAAGTGCGAAAGTTAAAGTGAAAGTTCGTCTGAATTTGCATGGAATTGTATTTGTTGAGTCAGCTACTGTAAGTATTTTTAATGCTGAGAGTTTGAGTGCACTTATATTCTCCTTCTCTGCTGGAATCTGTATTCTGAGGTCTGGTGGAAATTTTTTCACCGGTTAACATTCTGCTACTTTGTTTTAGCTTCTGGAGGAGGAAATCGTTGAGGTTCCAGTGTCAAAAGAACCAGCAGGAGAAAATGCTAAGATGGACACTGATGAGGCTCCTACTGATGCTGCCGCACCACCACCGTGCTCTAATGATACTGATGTCAATATGCAAGATGCAAAGGCAACTTCTGAAACCTCTGGGGTTGAAAATGGCATCCCAGATACAGCAGACAAGCCTGTGCAGATGGAGACTGATACCAAGGTTGGTTCTATCGACTGGTGTGTTCAAGCATATTTATACATGCTCAAACTACCAATTTTATAATTACTTATTCCTGTTGTCCTTGACCTGATTTTTTGACGTGATTGATTAGATCTTGATGGTTTTGCACCTATAGGTAGCTAAGCAAAATTTTTGGTGTGTCAGTTCAAAGTATCTAATATTTGTATCTCGTAGTGGCTAAGAAGTAGCTGTTGATAGTTTCATAATGGATTTTCCTAATCTATTTGTCATTGTAGTAAGCTTAAAATGTGTACCTGTATAGTTGAATGTGAAGTCTTAGCTGCCCCTTTGCTACCATGCACACCTGAGCTCTGCTACTGTTTGATTTTGTGCTTCTATGCAAGCCTGGTTTTCTCAAGCATAGTCATCTGATATTCTATACATTTGACTGACTCGGCTTGTAATAATTTTGTAGGCTGAGGCTCCGAAGAAGAAGGTCAAGAAGACAAATATACCTTTTTCAGAGCAGGTTTATGGAGCCCTGGCCCCTGCAGATCTCCAGAAAGCTGTGGAGAAGGAGTTTGAACTGGCTTTACAAGATCGAGTAATGGAGGAAACAAAAGACAGGAAAAATGCAGTTGAGGCATATGTTTATGACATGAGAAACAAGGTAAAAAAAAAACCCTTTATTTCCTCCTACTCTGTCCAATTTTTTATGTAAGTTAAGGATTTATAGAACCGATCTTGCTGTTACTGCTTCAGCTTGCTGACAAATACCAAGATTTTGTCACTGCTTCGGAGAGGGAGGAGTTTAATGCCAAACTTCAGGAGGTGGAAGACTGGTTATATGAAGAGGGTGAAGATGAAACTAAAGGTGTATACATTGCCAAGCTTGAGGAACTCAAGAGGGTAAGTTTCATAAACTATAAAATATCCATTGCCCTGTCAAGGTGTCAAGCACACAATTTTTTTTTTTTTGCACTTTGCTTTTATTATGTAAAACATACACTGGGAGGTTCTTCCTTTTGTTCTAATAATTGGAGTTCTTACTACTGCAGCGAGGTGATCCAATTGAGGAGCGTTACAAGGAATTTATGGAGAGAGGTACAATAATCGATCAGTTCATCTACTGCATAAATAGTTACAGAGAAGCTGCCATGTCAAATGATCCCAAATTTGATCATATTGACATCTCTGAGAAGCAGAAGGTAACGCTCGTCAACTTGATCTTTTCTTCCCTTCTTTCATTGCCATTGAATCTTAGATGGTCTTTTCCATTTCTTTGTAGGTATTGAATCAATGTGTGGAAGCTGAGGCCTGGCTTAGGGAGAAGAAGCAGCAGCAGGATTCACTTCCAAAACATGCTCCTCCTGTACTCCTATCAGCTGACATAAGAAAGAAAGCTGAGGCAGTTGATAGGTATGCCATGTATCCCATCTCCGTTATTTAGGTGATATTTTCATAATGTGGAGTCAGGTGACGTGAGGCTTATCTCGCTTTACCATATGGTCTCCGTACTTGCCTTTTACCATGTGGATGACCCTTTCACGTGGCCTAACTGATCATATTATGGCAAACATCCCAATTACGATTTAAGTACTTCTTTGTATTTCCTTTTTCTCTTCCATTTTTGGGGAAGTAATTTTGTTTATATATTTCCTATGAAGGTTCTGTAAGCCGATCATGACAAAACCAAGGCCGGCCAAGCCAGCTACTCCTGAAGCAACCGCAACCCCACCTCCTCAGGGTGGTGAACAGCCGCCTCAACAAACTGAGGGGGATGCAAACACCAATGCTAGTGCCAGTGCCAATGAAAATGCCGGGGACAATGCTGCTGGTCAGGCTCCACCGCCAGCGACTGAACCAATGGAGACTGACAAGTCAGAGAACACAGGCTCTGCATAATTTTTGATGGTTTATTTTAAAGTTAGTGAGAAGACCATAAGTCTCTTACCTTCTGTATAAGAATACGATTTGGACTTTTGGGAAATAGGATTTGAAAGGTGGGATTAGCAGTGAGTGGCCGCTGGATGCTTTGGTTAGAGCCCTCTCTGCGGGATGGCTTCGCAGATTTTATTACGTTCTTTGAAATCCGGATTTTCTTTTTCTTTTTCTTTTTTTTTTTTTTGCCACTGAAAGGGTTTTGAAGAGAAAATGATTATGTGTGTGGGTCTACCTTCCTAGCCCGCCCCTTAGGGGGTTGGGTTGTTTCTGTACGGTCTCTAGAGTTGAGTTATAATATCTATTTACAATTTTATAATTTTCATACAAAATCTTCTTTCAATTAAATAAATCAATTATTGTTATTTGTTCCCAGTTATTATTTTAACATTGGCAAATTTTCTGTCTACCACATAGAACTAAGGTGAGCTGTGCTTATTTTTAAAGCAAGTGAGTTGTGCTATGTGTGATTTCTGGATAGTACAGTTTATTCTTTTCTTTCAGATTTTAATATAAGATTTATTTAACTAATTTAATTAGATTGAAGAAGTTAAGGAAGTTAGTTAATTATAAGAAATATAACATGTTTTTTTTAAATACCATAATTATTTTTTTAATATTTTTTTTACTTGATTATGATTGAGGGAAATTTATAAGAGTTATTTGAAAAAAAAATTAATAAATATAAAAAATAGGTCTTATTAATAGTAGGAGAGTTTTTTTTTTTTTTTTTGGGGGTTTACAAGGTAATAGAATAATGCGATGGAAATAAAAGGGGATTGAATTTATGTTGCTTACAAATTTTAGTCTTTTCAGAGAGCACTGCTGCCTATAAGTGTCTCCTTAAGTGCGTTGCTCATGTTGGGCTGGTTGGCTGGCTTGAGCTAATGCTTTGTTTCCGGAAAGGACCGAGCCTTAAGATTGATGTCTTATTGATTTCTTATTTACAAGTGGGGCATAATTTCTCATTCACCAATGGGACGTGGGTCTAAAAGAAAGAGACAACATGGAGAATTAAAATTTGAATCCCTTATGGGAGAAGCCTCCACAATCACAAAAGAACAAAGTCAATGTTAAGCAGAAAAAGGGAGTTTCTTTCATCAACATCCATCTCACATTAAGAAAGATAGAATTTGATCGAATATGCATAATTCTTTTCCATCCCATGTAACCAAAGTGACTTCTCCATGGTTTCATTTTTTTAGATCAATAACAAAGAAAAAATAATACTCCTTCGGTCTTTAATATAGGACCTCAATTCTTGAGTTGGTTTTGGTCTTAAATATATGACTCATTTTTCATATTTATTAATTTTCTCTAAATTACCCCTATGGATATTCCCTCAATCATAATCAAGTAGAAGAGGGAGAGGGGGTATTAAGAGAGATGATTATGGTGTTTTAGGAAAAATGTGTCACTTTTTTTATAATTAACTAACTTACCTAACTTTCTTAATCTAATCAAATTAGTTAAATGGGTCTTATATTAAGAGGATCGGAGGAGTAATTTATCTAGAATTGCCAAGCAACCTTGGCCTCAATAATTCCCAGTGAATGGCTGTGTAAAATGATTTGCAACTAAACGGACGCTTTCTTCCGCCTATCTGTTCCCTCATCATTGATGAACTTAGAAATGACGCCAATCCACGTTTTAAGGAAGAGATGCACAGGTTCCTTTTTTTCTTCTCAATAATAATTTTGAAATCTAATAATAATTTCCAATTTTTGACAAAAAAAATTTCCAACATCTGAAAATTATTACTCCCTCTTGTCCCAAATGTAAGAGCCAATTGAGAGGTTTGTTTAATGCTAGATGTAAATCTGTGTTCCAAATTTTTCAAATTATCCTTATTGATTGTGCATGTTAAAGAAAATTTTTATTAATAAAGATAATTTTCAATGCAAATGATTAAATGAGATATTTTTAAAAAATTATTTACAAATGACTAGCTGAAGTTGTAACTCAACTAATTTTATTAATTTTTGTAAATTGATGATTTACTGACTATATTTAGTACGGATGAAATATTACCTTCAGCTTTAATTATAAGATCTGGTTTGTAGTTTACAAAAGAGATCTTATAATTAAATTGAAGGTAATTAGGACCGGAGATAGTATTATATTACCTCCAGTCTTTAATATAAGATTTCGTTTGATTTTTATTTTCGTTCTAATTATAAGACCCCAATCTACTTTGACTTTCATATTTATGTATTTTTTTCCAAGATAATCCTTCTAATAATGGTAGTTCTAACCAATACACTTCATTAACAAGGATATTTTAGGAAAGACAACACATATTTATTACAAATAATTAACTTAACTTAACTTACTTTTTTAATCTCTTTAAATTAGTCAACTAGCTCTTATAATTAGGACTGGAAGTAGTATTTTGAAACATTTATCATAGGTTTTTGTCCGTATCATAGCCGATCTCATGGGCCATTTGTTATATATGAATTTCATAATCTGTATATGAAAATGGCTAAGAAGAAGTTGGTTTTTGGGAAACAAATACACAAAAAGCCCATCAACAAAAGAAGAAAAAAACGAGACAGAAAATGAAAAGAGAAGGAAAAAAACGCAGAACTTGGGCGAGGTAGAGGGGAAAATTGGGCATGCTGGCGAAGAAGATTAACAAGTTTGTTTGTTTGATCATCGGCGTGAGCGAGTGCTCGTTTGTTGCTTGTGGAATGCGCCGGCCTTAAGCTTTGGCGTATGTTTCAAGGAGTTGGGCTGGAGTATATTCAGGCTGCTGGGAACAAGAATGCTTATTGGCTCCATTGCTATTAGGAGGAGAATCTCAACCTGGCCTCCTTTGTCTGAGAGAACAAAGCAAACAGGTGTGTGTTTATTACTTTGTTTTTTCGAATTTCATCGAAGCCAAGCGTGTAATGTTCAAGATAGTGATTTAATGTTAATATAAGCATGCATTTGTGAAACAGTGATATCCAAATGGAAATAGTTGTTGACCTAGTTATTCTTTATTGTCTGCATTTGAAAAGAGTAAAAGGTCTTCTTTGTGTTGCTGATTTCCTCACTTACTAATAATTTTGAGAATACCTGAAATACTTTTGAGAATACGTGAATTTCTTTGGATTTGGTTACTGCGTGTTCTATCGAAACGCTTATAGTTCAAACTGGCGGAAGTGTTGTCATTCAAATGTTTCTTTTAGAAAGCCAAAACCTTCCAAGGAGAAGGGGATCAGTTGCTATGAAAAACAATTTTGGGGCCAAGACGAAAACATTTATCAACTTAATTGTTCTTTTTTTTCCTTTTGCATTTGAAGAAGGGGAGGGGGGGGGGAGCAACTCAACTTTGTTCCGTACTGCTGTTTTCCCTGGGCACTAATAGATTCTTGCTGAAGGAATACCTGAATCTTATTAATTTGGATGTATTGAACTTTCTATCTAACTGTCTATAGCTCAAACTAGCAGAAAATGAGATCGTCAAAATGTTCCATGTTCCTAGCCCAAAAGAAGAAAGCCAAAATATTCCCATGAAAAGAGGAAGGGTATCGTGGAAGGACCCTTCTACGCGAATGTTGGACGATAGATTCATTCGGATTTTGAAAATATTTAAATGGGGTCCCGATGCAGAGAAGGCATTGGAAGTGCTCAAGCTGAAGGTGGATGCACGCCTGGTTCGTGAGGTTCTAAAGATAGATGTTGAGGTTCATGTTAAGATCCAATTCTTTAAGTGGGCTGGGAAGAGAAGGAATTTTCAACATGATGCAATGACATACATGTCTTTGATCCATTGTTTGAATGAAGCTGGGCTGGTTGGTGAATTATGGAAGACAATACAAGACATGGTTAGGAGTACTTGTGTACTCAGTCCTGCTGAGTTATCTGAGATTGTGAAAATTTTGGGCAGGGCTAAGATGGTCAACAAAGCATTGTCTATCTTCTATCAGGTTAAAGGCCGCAAGTGCAGGCCTAATGCAGCTACTTACAACTCTGTCATCTTGATGCTGATGCAAGAGGGCCATTATGAAAAAGTCCATGAGCTGTATCACGAGATGTGTAGTGAAGGTAATTGTTTGCCTGACACATTTACATATAGTGCACTCATATCAGCCTTTGCAAAGCTAAATCGAGACGACTCAGCCATTAGATTATTTGAAGAGATGAAGGAGAATGGATTACGGCCCATACCAAAAATTTATACAACATTAATGGGAATATATTTCAAGTTGGGCAAGGTTGAAGAAGCTCTGGGCATAGTCCAGGAAATGAGAGTGCAGCGATGTCCCCCAACTGTCTTTACTTATACAGAGTTGATAAGGGGATTGGGGAAAGTCGGGAGGGTTGAAGATGCGTACAGGATATACAAAAATATGCTGAAAGATGGTTGTAAACCTGACGTTATTCTGATGAATAATTTGATTAATATTCTGGGCAGATCAGGTCATTTGGAAGATGCTATCAAGCTTTTTAATGAAATGGAATTGCTTCATTGCACACCAAATGTTGTAACATATAATACAATAATCAAATCTTTATTTGATGCCAAAGCTCCACCTTCTGAGGCTTCTTCATGGTTTGAGAGGATGAAAAAAGATGGAGTTGTCCCCAGTTCATTTACTTATTCAATTCTCATTGATGGTTTCTGCAAAACAAATCGAGTTGAGCAGGCTCTGCTGCTCCTTGAGGAAATGGATGAAAAAGGCTTTCCACCTTGTCCTGCTGCCTACTGCAGCTTGATCAACAGCCTTGGAAGAGCAAAACGCTATGAAGCTGCCAAGGAACTATTCCAGGAATTGAAAGAGAACTGTGGACGCTCAAGTGCTCGTGTGTATGCTGTAATGATAAAGCATTTTGGAAAATGTGGACGTTTGAATGAAGCTATAGATCTTTTCAGTGAGATGAAAAAGCTTGGATGTACCCCTGATGTGTATGCTTATAATGCACTCATGTCAGGGTTGGTGAGGGCTAACATGGTAGATGAAGCTTATTCCTTGCTTAGAACCATGGAAGAAAGTGGTTGCACCCCAGACATAAATTCTCATAATATTATTCTAAACGGCTTAGCTAGAACAGGTGGCCCAAAGCGTGCTATGGAAATGTTCACAAAAATGAATCATTCTAATATTAAGCCAGATGCGGTTTCTTACAACACTGTTCTCAGTTGTCTTAGCCGAGCAGGCATGTTTGAACAGGCTGCAAGGCTGATGAAAGAAATGAGTGCAAAGGGATATCAGTATGATCTCATTACTTACTCTTCTATACTTGAGGCAGTAGGCAAGGTAGATGGAGATTGTAATGTGGCAGAATCATGAAAACAATTTGGTATGGCATAACTTGCTCGTCTTAAGATTTCATTTCAGCTTCTTTGAATGAATATTATCAAAGCATTTTTTCAGACTGTCACTTTAGACGTTTTCTTTGTTACTAAAGAGTTGACAGTTCCTAGGCAAGTTTTGGATTCCCAAAAGGAAAAAAAATCTTATTGAATTAGTTTGCATTATAGAATCTGCGTATGAAGAGAATATTCTTATACAGTTCTTACCTGGGAGGTTTCCATAATATTAATCTATATGTTAAGTCTTGTTGAACCTTACTAAATTAGAACTATTAAAGCTGACTCTGTTATTTGAGTAAAACTTAAAGGATAAAAGGTCTAGATTGCATATGCATGAATGCATGATGATTAGATTAATATTCTAACACATCCCGATAAAATAAATGAACACTGTTTCTTCAAGAAAGACAACAAGCCTAATCCCACTCATTGTTCTATATTAACAGCCAAACTCTTCAGATATATTATTCATGAAAGGGTTGAGATACATCCAGCATCTTGAAGTATTTTTTCAAGTGCATCCTGTATCCTAAAAAGTATTTTGTGGTGCATCCAGTACCTGAAGTATTTTTCAAGCATGTCTAGCACTCTGAAATTTTTTTTTTTTTGCCTTAGTATTGAATGCACCAAAAAAAATTTTTGGGTGCTGGATGCACCTAAAAATATATATTTTAGGGTGCTAGATGTACAAAAATACTTCAAGGTACTAGACACACTGAAAAAACTATTTCAAGGAGTTAGATGTGCCACAACATACTTTAGGGTGCTGCACCTTAACTCTTCATTAAATGCACACTGTTGCTTAAAGCATTAATTTCTGTCCACTGAGGATCCTATGATAAATTATAGGTCAATATGCATGTAACCTCGTGCAGGCTCTACGTTTTATGTTAATTTTTTTTTTTTGGGCCAAACGTTTTATATTAATTGAAATTATCTGATTTCAAACAGGAACTGAATCTAATGAGTTATGCACAGTGAGGCGGCTAAGACAAGTTGTTGTTTGCTACCGCTACAACTTGTCTGCAGGTCAGATTTCCTCTATTTAATCTCCCGCAGGGAATTTGCATTAGTATCAATATGGAAGTGTGAAATCTATAATTTAGCAAGAATATTCACCCTCCAGTTCAGATAAGGCAGATATGGAATAAGTCAGTGTCACATATATATGGAGATGCCATCAGTGTTTTCATCTAGTTGCTTGAGATGCTCTATGCTAAAGCAATAGTCTATTGGGCAAAAAGAAAAAACCTTGATGGCAATAATATCTTTAGTCTACCTTGTCTGTTCTATACATGACGGTGCGTTATTACAACCATTCGTTTTATCCCTGAGAGTGTCTTTATAATATGGGCTCCGTCCCAACTGTGCTCTTGATTTCTTTTTCCTTTTCCATAGTTAAAATTATTTATTCGTTGTGAAAATTTGGAAGATACCTGAAGTAGGGTCGCCACAGCATGCTTAACCTCTGGATTTCAAGTTACTGTTTATGTATCTGATTTTGGCTTTAACCTGTGAATATTTTTATGTCGCATCTATTGGTGGGACATAGGCTATGTGATTGTTTGTTTGTCTTTTTTCTTTCTCTCCCTGTGATGAGGAAGTCTTGTGAAACTAACTTATGAGTCACAATAATTGTCAGTGCAAATAGTATGGTTAATGAATTCTCTCTATGTTCTCTCACATACAGTTCTTTCATGACTGATGAGCAAGATAATGATTATGCAGTTTTAGCGAAGTACTTTTGATGTAGCCAAGGGCATATTCATTCCACCAAGGCATCAACATAAGGGAGGACTTGCATATTGATTGAAGAGTACAAAAATTTTGAAGTTGAACCGGCATTAGAGACTCAGCTTAGAGAATCGACTGGGGAATTTGATTTCACGCTGCCAGATTTTTTATATGGTAACTGTTTACATTTCTAACAGTTAACCCTCCAACCTCTGTGAATCTATTCTTATTCCACGTCGAGGCATGGAGTGGTCATCTGACTAAGGGGGACTTGACTCTGGATCATTGTTTTTAATGTTGAAGTTGTTGTAAATTCTAAAAGAGAAAAGAAAAAAGTTCGAGTGGTAGAAAATGAGGAAGTATAAAGGAAGTGAGTTTCATAGGTACATTCTTTGTCATTTTTTCTTTGAATTGTATAATTAACAATCAAGGATTCTGAAAGATCTTCATTATAGAGATTTTGGCAATGAAGGAGAAAGTGGTGATTAACTGAGAACTTGCTTTCCTTAATATGAATTTGGTTCCCCTGAAGTTCGAGCCTTTGATATTGGTGAAGTTCTGCCCATAATATCAGTACTCTATACCCTTTCAGGTGCGCAAATTTTTATATAACGCTAGCAAAGACTTCGCCAACTTAAGAGATTCAAACTCCAGAGGATCAGGATTCCAATTAGCATGCAAGTGAAGATAGACCCTTTTATCTTGTAGAGACGAATTAAATGCTTCCCTTTTCCTCACATGGGAACAAAGGAATTAATGCATTATCTCAGACTGCGCAATTAAGAACATCATAAACCGGATGGTTTTTCAGATACACGACATGGTTTTGTTCTGAATCGATATAGGTATAAGCCTTAAATTCAACCATTTTTCCTTGAGAAATTTTTGCCTCACTTGATTGGCGCCCTTCTTGGGCAAGCTGAAGCCTGAAGCCTGATCGAATTTTGTTCGAAGTCAAATCATGAACCAGATCTCATTGCTATACTTTCCCCATTCTAAATGCAGATGTAAAGCCAGAAGGGAAAATTTTGTTTATTGGATCTTAATTGGAAATGCGTTTTTCCTCTCTTGGAGCTGCAACGTTGGTTTCAGTAGAAGTTCCTTTTAGTTCAACATTCATTGAAGTTATTTAAAAGTAACTTTTTGAAGACAAATTTGACTATTTTGAAACACTTCAAAATGAAAATAATAACTAATAAGATTAAAGAATCAAAATTCTATTTTCGCAGAAGGCATCTTATGAGCTGTTGAGAGGGGAGAAAAACAATAGACTAGAATGGTATGAACCATTGAGCACATGCAGTGATAACATGATAATGACTGTCCAATTTTCATTCTACTGTATTGCAACATTCCTGACAAATGTACTGCTACACAAGAAAATTCTAAAACGGGGGGAAATGCCTCGAATATTATACAGCAGATGGTGTCTACATTTTATGTAACATTATGAGCTACAAGTCATGTCAGACCCAAAAAAAGAATGATAAAGGAGCTACAAGACATAAACATTACTGATCCTTCTCTACAGAAACATCATTATCCTCATTGTCTCTCTGGTCCAGTTTTGCAATCTCACTTTGCAATCTCTCTAATATCTGCCTCTTCTGTGTTTCCAATTCTCTATGGAAATCCATTCTCATCTTTTCCAGTTCCACCATCAGCTGCCTTTTACTATTTTCAATCTTTTCATATATCTCACCGAATTTCTGAATTGATTCAGCAACCAATCTGCAGGAAGTTTCATCGCTGTTCCCCCCATGCCTTCTTTTCTTTGGATTAAGTCCACCTAAATACTCACCAGTAGATTCTGAATTCCCTGGACTATCCCTCATTTCATCTAACCCATTTGCACGGTTCAAATAAACTCTGGGGTTCATAAAAACATACTCTCCTGAGTCTAACCCACAAGAGAGACCAGCATGCTGTGGAGGGGAAGACAACAGCTTATCCATCCTTTTGAAATAGACCCATTTGCTTGATCCACCACCCATTTCTGCTAATTTAGTTTTCTCCTTTTTGTATTTTTTCTTTAATGTGTCCAGGCGATTCCGACATTGCGCATCTGTCCTTTCAATTTTTGAAACTTCTGATACTTCCTCTGCAACTTCTTGCCATTGCTCAGACCGAAGACTCTTCCTTCCCTGTTGAAGAAACCGATTCCCCCAGGCATCAAGAAGAAAGAATGTCTCATTTTCAGTCCAGTCAGTAAGGGAATTCCTGGAACCAACATATGGTTTTGGGTCTGAGCGAGTTGCCCCTGATGGTGCTGCTGGCACACGAGGGGCAACTTCATAAGCTGAAATCAAGCTTTTCAGCTTTCGCTTTTTCGGATGCCATTCTGAATCATCTTCAACTCTCTTCTTATAACTCCTCTTCTTACCACCATCATCATCAGTATCATCATTATCATCATTGTCATTTTCATCATCATCTTCACCCTCATCATCTTCCTCATAATCATTGTCATCAACATCATTTTGGGAATATATACTATTACTCTGATCAGCATCATCATCTTCCCCGCCTCCTAAAAGTTCTACATCCTCTCCATCTCCATCATCATCATTATCTTCCACATACTCATTTGTGACCGGCTGAGAATATGGAGAACTCCTAACCGAATGTTTTTGATGATTCAGATAGCCATAACCTTGATGGTTTTTATCACCATACATAATAGGGGGATATCTTGCATCAATCCTTGGTATCATCCATTAAACAAACCACAATCCCAAGCAAGTAAAGCCAAAAACTAATAGGGGGAAAAAGAAAATTGGTTCCTAGCTTCTAACAAAGTAGCCCATTTTCACTGACTTGGGTTAAAATATCAAGCCTAACAGCTGCTCAGAGTACACAATACCCCACAATTTCTCCTCCAATAATTAACCTTTCGTACCAATTCCAGATCACCAACGAAAAACTCCAATTATCTTGCTTCAATACAGATTTAACTCCTCCAATAATTACTTTTTGTTTTCACAACAAAAGATCAGATGAACATCTGCGGAAAAAACAAACACTGAATTTAAGAACACAAACAAAGCCCCTGATTCACAAGCTCAAATCGAATTCTAGGAAAAATCAGAAGACATCAAATCTTACCGGAAAGAATGCAACTTTCCAGAAGTTTAAGTTCTCGAATTTCCTCCAGAATACGATCGAAGGGATGCAAAGTTTGTAAATTTGGACAAGGCTGAACATAAACAGCGTGAAATATGATAGCAACATACGAAGTTGCATAGAAAAGCCGTCTGGATACAAGATAGCTGCTGCTAATGTAAGCCGAGGGCGTTAACAGTTATCCACTTATTATATTTATTTATTTATCAGTAAGATTATTCAAGTTCAACTGAGATGGGCCTATACTGTTATCAGTTATTGGACAAGCTGCGTTCTTTTGTCTTGACCTCGCATGAAGTTGCTTCCACACAAAAAAAAAAAAAAAGAAAGGGAGAATAACGCAGAGAAAAACTCTGGTTGAAAAATAATGACATTGAAAAAACCAATGAAAAGTGGATGAAAATGCCCCTCTTTTTTTTAAAAAAAAAAAAAACTTGAACGATAATGCCCTTA